TTGTGTTAGGTTGATAAGTTGCTAGAAGAGAAATGACAAGCAGATGGATGCATCACAGACGATGAAGGCACAACATACCAAAATAAAGCAGAGCTAATCACAGCATCTTAACAAAGAACATATCACAAATACCTGTCATCTAAAGATCCTAGAGCAAAAAACATTGTATGCAATTCATAATATCCCCAGTTGTTCTAATGGGCAGGCTGATACATCAATGGATGAGGCAACGTTAGTGAAAGACAGAAATCTGAGACCATGGCAGTATCCGTAAGCAGTGAGAGCTGCTCCTTCACCCTTATCCCTCAGGGCATGCACTTCAAGAACACTGAATGTAATCACTGAGTTCCCACAATGGCCTAGACATTCCCGTAAGTCTGGGATCACTACAGAAGCATCATTCTGTCTGTCAAGGCCATTTTTAAGAAGCAACAGATGAGCTAAAGAACAAGTAGAGCAAAATGAGTCCTGGGGATGAATCTCAGCAACACACAAGCTCACTTGAGAAGTTCTTAGCATCTTGCAGAAGTGGAAACAGTTAAAAGGGAAACCATGGGCTGCAGGAATGGAAAAAAGAGTCCTAGGGAAAAAACCAACAACCACAAAAACACAAACCAAAAAAACACAAACCAAACCAAACAAACAAACAGAAACCCTCAAAAAAAATCCACCAAACTAATCTAAAAATCTTACATTCCATTAACACAAGCTTTGATGACTGAAAGATAAACCACTTGCATTGGCCAACCAAAGAGGCTTTACCTGGGCTGTAATCGAAGCACAGAAGGTGAGCAGGGGCTGTAACTACTCTGAATATTCCAGTCAATGATGTCACACACTTCAGTGACATGCTCAGAAAAAAGCAGGTTACCAAAAAAATTCATCCCAAGTTCTTTTGCCTTGCACATCACATTGTGATTTTGACCTGCACAAAATGAGTGCAAAGTAATAACAAGTTAAGGTCCTTTGGTGCAGATATGATTTTGTACCCAATTTGAGTAAGAGACCTTACTAAAATTTCAAGCCACGTGGAATCAGGACTACAGTCAGTCACCTTGAGAGAAGCTGCTTAAGAAAACACTCCTTATGGGATAGTGATCTCCTGGTATGTGAGTGAATGTCCACACACCAGCTAATCTTCCTTAGTCACATTTTTGTTTGCTAATCTCAACCTAATTTTAAGTGAGAGTTGACCTCACCAAAATCAAAACCCTGCTGGGGAGAAGAAAAATCAAAATTAGCATTTTTTTGCTAGGAAAGACTTGGCCCCATATTTGTGACAAGCACCAAGAGAATATAGTTTATTCTCTAAAATGTTACTCTTTTCTTCCACTACGCCCTAACCTGCATGCAGTAGTCTTGGGAATAAGGTAATAGAAATAGGGATAAAATCAATTATTTGTTGAAAGTTCTGATTTGGCTTTTTGTGGCTTTAGATACACATCCTTCATGGCGTGGCTCTGTGATCTACATTGGTAGCCACGACTGCAAAGGAAACAAAAGCTGAAAACAAAAAGGTCCCTCTGGGATCACACAGTATTCAGCTCAGTTACTTACTAAAGCATTGACAGAGCACAGACTTTTTTCAGTATGTTACTTATTCAATCAGAGCTCCAACTCTCTCAGACTGATCCCTTAAGAAAAAGCAAACATCTTTTCCTGTTTGTTTCCAGCTACATCACAAAAGACTTTAAAGACTTCAGGCTCCAAAGAAAAGTGTTTGTCTTTGGGTCATGGTACACCAAGAGTTTGTGGGTGAAACCAGTGCAGCTCGGATTGACTGGTGAGGGCAGAGGGCCATCAAGCTAAGGAAGCTGCTTGGATTTTTCCATGAAACTTCATGACCTACCTCCAACCTAGAGCAGCACTGCTTGTGCAGGACAGGAGCAGCAGGTCAGAGAGCGCTGAACAACCTCCTTGCAGTTGTCAAGGGTTTTTTTTTCTTTCAGGAGATGAGATCAATTTTCTAGCAGATTAATCTAGACTGGGAATAGCTCAGTAGGCCTTTAAACACAGAAGCTAACCTTTTGTCTTGACAAGATGGGGGTGACATGTTGCTCACCTTAAAGAACAGTAAGGTCACTTATGGGGAAGGGAATCAATTTCCATCAAATATGTTGAGGCAGAAGACATCAGCTTACCTTTAGATTTCTGTCAGCAAAGATGTCAAGTCAGTAACCTCTCTGCTGCAGACAACCAGGATAACCTAAGGTAGACAAGCTGGCAAAAAAACCCACATGATTGTGGAAACCAAAGGGCACCAGATCCTTCCATCACTGCACCTTTGACAGCAAGAAGCCTGTGGTTCCTTAGCAAGCTAATGTGTGTTCTTGGGAAGACAAGAAGAAAAGAGTGGTGAAAGTCTTGCAGCAGCATTTCTTCAAAGGACCCTTCTACTGGGAGATTTATTGAGTCTTATTCTATCTGACACCAGTCACTGAACATGTGCAACTTGGGTGAGCTAGGAAAAAAAAAAAAGCAGCTTGTCTATAAATTCTTCCACTCCAGACACGATTCCTCAGAGGCCAGCCCTAATAAACCCATCACCACAGCAGCACTATAACTCAGTGGTGCTCAGCTCCTGGCCCTTCGGAGCTTTGTATCCCAGTCTTTTCTCAGAGACTCCTGCAGCAAGCACACAGTGCATGACCCACCCTGAGGAAACTGTTTTAATGCTAACATGGGACACACCAGAGAGCCCCAGCCCTACCCAATGGAGAGATTGTTTTCTTCTCCCTGCCCAGAGCTCAGGCCCAGAAAGTCATTAAACCATCTAAACCATCCTACTAGCATCACAGAACACTTCGTTAGGAGCCAACACATTATTTAGAAATGTTCTAACATATACTTTGAGCTGGGAAACATAAGCTTTAACCTTCTTCAGCTGAGTAAGAAATGGACCCTGAATCTCTCATTTCACAGGCAAATTAAGCCACAAAGCTAGAAGAGACATCAGTCTTCTCACTCTGATAACCCAAATGAGGTACTCAAGAAATTGTCACCAAAGCTGCACAATCTTAAAGCACCTCTCTGAATACCCTCCCTGTGTGGCTGACCTTGATGTCAAACTAGTAACCAGGCAGAAGACTGATGATGGCAACACTGCTTAAACTAGTAGGCACCGTTTACCTTGCATCAATGAATTCTTCTGTACCTCTCCACAGCCTTACTCAATGACAAAGCAACTGCTGACAGTGGAGGCCTGGGAGAAGCATTATACACTTGAGCACTGTACCTTGGGACCCAGAATAATAAGCACATAAAAGAGATGGATGTGTATTTGTAATGCTACCTTTTAAAGCAGATGCTTAAAAGAAGCCTGCTTTAGAAACTCAGAAATTGAATTCTTGACCTTCCTGAGTAATCAGGCTAATATCAAGAGAAGTTACAATTACTCAGCTGTAAACAAAAAAAAAAAAAAAAAAAGGCACTGTTGATACTTGCAAATGAAGGGCCTAGATACAAAAGGGAGAGCAAAGGAGGAATGTGCCCATTCCCCTGCCACTCTGGAGGGGAGTCATGACAAAGGGCACCCACTCTCATCAGAGATGCAGCAGGGACAGGCAGAGTGCTCCTGGGCCACTGTAATTTGAAGAAAATTAATTTGGGTCACCTACCTCCAGCAGGGCCATAATCCAGCTCCCAAATAGTCAGTAAAGAGATCCTCTACTCCCTGCAGTTCCCTGACTTACCCCCTAGGCACATTACAGCTTCTACAAGAAGGGAAGAAAGGCTTCAGTCACTTCCATTAAACAAGTCTGCTTTATTCCCAAAGAAACCTTATCCTAAGGGAAAGATACTGGCACTGCAGAATAGGGCAGTAAAGTGTTCCCACATGCACAGGGTCATTTAGGATGTTCATTCAAATTCTGTAACTTAAAGATCTCCTGGCTTTTATTTTCTCTGAGTTTTTCTCAACCAGAGTCTACTATATCTGGACTAAAACACTTGAAGTGGAAGAACAGCAAGCAACAGAGCAAGGCCAGTTCTGCTCAGGATCTCCAACACAGAACTGGGAGATTGGTGGTTTAAAAAACAAGTGACCTTCATGTCTTGTTGGGAGCTGAACCTTACTTCTGCAGTCAAACTCAACATGACACAACCAATTTCATTGCTGTGACACCTGAAGGAGCAAAGGAAAACAGCATCACCCCCAAACAGTGTGCAGATAAACTGACTCTGCCTTCTGAAACACAAAGGGAACACTTAAAACTTCCCACATTTGTTCCCTTTATTTTCTTTTTTACAAAACTAACATCAAGAAAACATTGTGCAATGGCCTCTGTATCAGATGAGGCCTCTGTGCTTTCCACAATCTATAAAATCCAACCACATCATGTTTTATCACACAACAGACTTCCCATAGTGTCACGTACCAAGAATTCCCCTTCTCTGAGGATCCCAGGGAGTCTTTAAAGCATTTAATCAGCCTTCACACCACAAATCTCCAGGTATTAAAGAAAGATGGGATTAAGTCAGTGCTTAGGCTTTCTCTTGATGTTCTGTAGGCAAAGATATAAGCATTGACAAGTTACAGACAGACAGAAAGATAGTTTCAAAAGATTTAAGCAGGAAAAGCTGCAGAATTAAGATACTGTGCTAGATAGGTATGAAGAGAGGCCAGCATGCTAAACACAGGGAATCCCAGCTAGTAGAGATAGGTAAAGTGATTCCTATATACAATGGACTTGACTTTGTCACCCAGCTATTCCAAAGCAGCAAGTTAGAGCACAGGAAGCTCCACCTCAACAGGAGGAAGAACTTCTTTACTATAAGTGTTACAGGGTAATAGGCTAGCTGAGAGGTTGTGGAGTCTCCTTTGGAGACTTTCAAGACCCATGTGGATGCATTTCTGAGTGCCCTGCCCGAGATTCTGTGGTGGTCCTGTTCTGGCAGAGGGGTTGGACTAAATGATTTCCAGAGGTCCCTTCCAAACCCCTAACATTCTGTGATGCTGTGATCTGAAAATTACCCTGAAGTCACAAACAGACAGAGCAACATGATGCTTTTTTTAATCAGGTTTTAAATCACAATGTAATTTTTTTCCACCAACACACTCAAACACAGACATTTAAAAATAATTTGTCTACAAAGAGGAAGAAAATGATTTAAACAACTCCAGTAAATTCTGAGCAAATATTTTCTGATCTTCTCCTTGGGAGTCCATTCTTCAGACAACTTATAAATTTTGTTTGCTTCTATTTCACAAGACAAGAGAAGGCTGGGTTGCAGATAACTTTCTGTTCAAGCTCAGCATATCTTTTCAGAAGTGGAGGATACACCTAAAAATGAAAAAGAAATAAATATGTCTAGGTAGAAAAAATTGATTTTTAAATCCCACTGCAGTTCAAAACCAACTTCAGACATGAAGAACACAGGAGCTTCATAGGTACCTGAAGGTTTGTGGTTCTTTCCTCCAATTTGCTCAAGAAAATGCTGCAGTCTCCCTTCTTCAAATGTCAGTCCTTTTTACCATCTCCTTTGCAGCTTAATTTTATGACATGCACAGATTGTTCTTATTGTGGCTGTGTTCTTGCTATAAGCAGAAGTTGTTACTTCCAGAGGAAGCAGCTCTGCTAAAGTCACCTCTCCCTGTCTGACATGTCCCCTCAGTAATAGCTGTCCTAACCACCCAGGCAGAACTCCTGTCCTTGCCTCCCTCTGCTACCTCAGGATGGATCACTGCCTCTGTCCCCTCCTCCTCTGCCCTGCTAATAAGTGCCACCCCCTAGCATAGTCAGACACCACTGTCAGAAAGGTCCTCCTTGGCCAATATGCCAATCAGGGCATTCTAAAATACACTTCACACTCCCTCTCCTGCCCCTCTCATACTCCCATATCTATTTGAGCTTCTTTTCTCCTCCACATCTTCCACAGCCATGACTTTTCCCATCTCAGAGCTACTTCACAGCCATGCTCCTCACTCCCCAGACCCAGGGACACAAATGGAGACACAAACTCTTTCCACAACTACACTGAGTATCCGAGTAGCTTTCTGTATATCCCTAGCTAGAATTTTCCAGTAGTTTTTAGATTCAGAATTGTTACAACATTAAGAAGAAGAATACAAACCCAAAGGTATTCAAAACCCCAGATTCAAAGGCCCCCTGTGCTTTTGGATATGAGCAAGATCAGTGTTGCAATTTGTTTGGTTCTTTACCCTTGGGATTTTTTTTCTCCTCTGCTTCAAATTCATCACACAACATATCACAGAAGATGAGCAGCTTGTATGTGACCAGGTTACCTAGCAGAAACTCTGAATAGGGCCTAGCCCTACAGCTGGCTCCAACCCAAAACTGTACTTCATCTAGATCTTGGAGATAGACCTTCTTATCTCCTCTTTCTTGTTTTAATTGTCCATGTAATAAAATCATTAGTTTGACAAGCCATTCCAGGACAGCTTCACCCATTTGCTGTCTCAGGCACAAAGAAGGGACTGCCAGGAGCCAGTATGGGGCCTGGTGCAGGCTCGAGCAGTCCTTAGGAGGATGCCACAAGGTCATATCCCTGCTGCAATGAATCCTAAGGGCCGCCAGTCTAGTCTCCAAACCCTGTGCACTGATGTTATTCATAATCAGAGCAGTCTCGCTCCTGGCTCCAGGTTCAGAGAGGTTATAGAGCCATAATGAATCATACCCAGTAAACTGAATTACTGCTCCCATCAATAAGTGAGATCCAGCATTTAAATGCATTTTATCCTTTTCCAGATACAAGCCACAGCCAACAACTACATATACACAAGAAATTCAAGAGAAGACACTTCAAGTGTAAACTACGAGGTCGTAGGAAGAGACAGGGTTGCTCTTGTGCAGTTTTATGTACAGCCCTGCAGCAGCCTCAGTGTCTGAAACAGTCAGACTTTCTCAGATGAAAGAGAAACAAATCACAGTTTTCTCAACTAGGAAATCAAAAAAATAGCCCTTTTGTTCCTGTGTTTCAGTTGATGGCAAAATATCTTCCTGAATAACAGTTTTACTCTGAACAGTGAAACCTGGATTTATCTCTTCCTTCCCACTTCAACCTTCCACTATGACAGGTGAGAGCAACTTAATGGACAAATTCTGAAGAAACAGCCTGTTTTGGCCACCTCCTCCCTTACCAACCAGATGTTAACGGACTTAAAGTACATTTCTTCAACAGATTAAGTATATCAAGGGGAAGAAGAGAAGGAACAGCAAATGGAAAGATTCACTGTTCACTACCCAGGGTCTCATTGGGACAATTTTTTAAACCCATCTCACAGTGAGTCTTGCTATGTCTCAAACTTACACTCATTAGAACAGAGAAATCTACACACTCCTACCTCTGCAACACTCATCCAGTGACTGTGGGCAAGTCATTTATTGTGTTCTTGCCCCAAATCCTCTTCTCCACAGGACAGAGATACTGAGATCCATGGAGATTTACAGGGTTATGAAATTCACCACTATTATGAAACACCACATGACTCAGCATGGTATTTTTAACTAACTACATGAGGGCCTTGGGAGTTCAGTGAAGTACATATATATATTCTTTTCATGTTCCCAAAGAATATTATTGCTCTATTTCTGCTAAATATGCACATCAGGGTAAACAAAATATTCAGCAGGCAACTGTGGCTATACTGTGAGTATCAGCATGTCAAACAAACCAGCTCCTTTATTCACTGAAGCATCTATAATCAAGCCTCACTCTTTCTTACTTTGCTGTTCTGTGTATTTGACAAACCCGAGGCACTTCTCAACAAATATGCAGCACAACAGAGCTGCACTGGCAAGTGAGCTCAGCCACTGAGAAAGCAGGCTTCAGATCACTTATGCAGCAGTATTTTTACAAAATACACAACAGCACATTTAGTAGAAGGCCGGGAAGTATTATTGTTAATACATCACTCTAAATTAAAATATGTCAAAAGAAACGAACAACCACATTGACTGATACAGTTTCTTTTCCTGTTTATTTGACTTAAGCACTTAGCTTGCTGATTGAGAAAATTCAGGCATTTGCAATAAGCTTCCCAGCCATTAGTGTAAATTAATGGTGCGTTATGGACCATGTGAAAAAAAAAATGCAAACAAAAAATTGAGAATATTTTCTGTACTCTGTTCCTGTGCATTCGGGGTAAGAAGCAGCACAGTTCACAGGGCTAAGCCCATCTTAAATTCCTCTTCCTCATGGAATTTGGCTGTAATACCACCAGTACCTCATGGCTGGTAAGAGCAGCAGTACTGCAAGCTTTTCACAAGCAGTATTTTAGATACCAGCTTGACACCAGCTGAAGCCTGAGGCCAAAGCAGTGCAGCTCCCATGAAGTAAGGAGAAGAAAAGCCAAGCTGCCCTGACTGAGCACATGGCCTGAGCACACACACAGTTGTGTCTGTGAAAGATGCTTCTCCATGTCTGCTGTGACTGAACTGCCTCCACAGAACCTTGGGCAACTCCTTGTAAATTATTCCAGGAGTCTTTGTCCTGAGGCAATTATATAGATTTATTTTTATAATTGAGGTCCAAAGGGAATAAAGAACTCTCAATGATGCATAAAAACTCAAGAACATAAATTCTCTCTCTGTCATAGTCTCAAACCTAATATATCAGACCATGATATCTAACAAAAGTAATTACATGTATCACAACATGAACCTTTTTATTGTCCATAATTTAATTACTGTCCTTGCTATATTACAGTCTTCTATCCTGCTTATCTCTGTAGCTTACTCCACAACATGAGCAACACTCTGATGGCTTCATTTAACAAACCCTAAACTTCTCTCCTGGGACAATTTGGCCACACTCCAAAAGACCCACAAATAACTAAGAAAACGATAAATATTGCATTATAACAGAGAATAACTTAAGTTGCTCTCCCTGGAAAATGTATTCAAATACATGTTACCTTGCCCTCTAGTCCAAACCAGATATGTCATCCTCATACTGTATCTCACCATAGTCCCAGCCTATGAAATCATCAGGACTTTTACTGTCCCTTTGTACAATGTCTAGGACAATGGGACATTGTTCCTTCCGCTCTCTAAAACCAAAAACAGCTACAAATTAATACTAAAAGTAACAATCATCATGGATACTTCTGTCTATGCTATGTAAACCAGTGTTTGGAGCAATTCAAAATTTACGAATTACAAAGATGACACTGAGGATTCTTTAATATTTATCTACCTGAGTACATTTAATCTGCTCTGAATAGAATATAATTAATCAGTCCTGCACAAAGTATTGCTACTTTTGATAGCTTTCCTTTAAAAAAAAAAAAACAACAAAAAAAAAACCCCACCTCAAATTACTTGAAGATATTTGCTTAAGAAATCAAAATATACAGATGCTTTATTTTTAAACCATGATCAGTTGATCATCTTTCTCAAAATAGAAAGGATACACTTAAAGCAGAAATAATATGACAGTATCCAGAAATACTTCAGAGACTCCTCCAAGGAACCACACTCCAACAGTTACTTTATTTTGGACATTTATTCTGTAAGCCTATCTGAATCAGTTTAATAAGTTAGAAAACTATTGGCTACACAATCACCTTAATCAAACTTTCATCAATATGTAGTATCATATTTTTCTGGTTGCATTATTATTATCTACTTTGCACTAAATTACCAACGTAAACCAATCCTAGAAAACAACCTTCCCCCTCCAAAATCTAACTCAACAAAAATACCATTATTTTAAATCAATAAACAGGTCATTATAACCTTCCTGGGTCATAGGGACACTTCTGTTAACCCATCTACTTACAAGGCAATTCACCAAAGTCAGGACAACCTATTAGGTCTACATTTTCACTTCTTGAATTTTTGCAGGATTAATACATCTCAGTAGAGTCAATAATGCCATAAAAAATTCCACACCCAGTGGTAGTGAACTGCACTGTGCCTTCTCCCTACCAAACCCTATCCAACACTATTGCACTAAATCTGACACTTTGTCATAGGCACACGCCCTGTATAAACACAAGTGATCAATTCCAGATAATCATGTTCCCTCTCATGCTTTTTGCTTAATTAACCAACTAGCCAGCCAGCTGTTTTAATAGATTACTAAAACAGAGCTGAATTCCAATGCTGGAACAACAGATTTGTTCTGTCTCTTAATATATATGTATTGTTCTAGAATCTCCTGGTTATTTCTGTTGTGCTTAGTGGTTCTGATTAATCTTTTTCACTAGAGGAGTGAGGAGGCTCCATAGAGGTGAGGTGACTCTCTAATTTTTGCCGTTTTGAAAACAGGAGAGAAGAATTCATCAGGTTAACTGACAGATGACTGACCAGCTAGCCTGGTTAATAAGTGACCAAAGACTAGAACCACAATGGTTACCACTAGAATGCCTTATGACCCGTTTGGGTACTGACAGAGTTAGAAACAAGTTCAAGTTGGGTGAGCCCCCATGCCCTGCAATGAAATCAGGTTCAACTAAGAGACAGGGTTGTAGCCACAAAGAGGGATTTATCCTCCTTGAAATGGTCTCTTCCAGGCAGGATGGTCTACTACAGGATAAAGTCACTTTTGTGCCAGACAATTTGGAACTCATGGGACCTCAGTTTCCATTAACTACTAACTCATCACCCATCACAAGCTCTATGTCTCCCATCTGGTGACCTTACTTTGTTCTACCTGCCCATCAGCTTAATTGAACCTGAAAAGCTGTTTTCTGTGCCTTGCTTTTTCTTTTCAAAATCACATTCATTATCACAAATGATCCTTCACGAACAAAAAACTCCCTTTCTTTTTTTTTTTCATTTTTGGTTCCTGGAAAGCCTTACTGTGTGCATAAGCCTTGGCAATGAAGCTACATCAAACTATTGTTTGACCTCTGTCTGAAGGAGGTTTTCCTCCCTCCAGTGATCTAACACATGTTGCCTCCAACCTATACCAGGAAGAAATGATGAAATCAGAGCAGATTGCTGTGTTATGACCTGTTTTTTCTCCACCCTGCCAAGATGTAGCTGTAGCCATCCAAAAAATGCAGGGAAGTGGTCCGGGGAATTTCACATTGGTTAGCCAGACTCTTCCAGAAGAGCTCCTCAGTAAGACAGAACTTAACCTCGGGATGACTTTGAGGTTTATAAAAAGAACCGTCATTTAAGTGAAAGCCTCTAACCTCAACAGAATGAAATTGGAAGGACAGGGAGATGCAGCTCTGTAAAAAACAGAATCAAACTGGCTCATCACATTATGAATTTTTCCTGCATTGTTCTTGCTAACACACTATTACTGACAGGCCCTCTGGCTTCCTGCAGTTTCACAGCCATGAAACTACTCAGGGAATCCACCATCAACTGCAAAATTATAAGATGGGATGAAAAAAAAAATAAAAATGGTGTGGAATACCTAACTGCAAGAAGCTGCTTTTAATGGAATGAAGCTGGCAAGCTAAGCTATGCACAGTAACGGTTTCCTTCATGTGCTGCTTGGCCACTACCTGCTCTATCATTCAGTCCTATCTACTGGGGCAATAATTCACCAGTGTACATCATTTAAAACCAATAAAAAGATGGCTATGAGAGCCAGGTCTAACCAAGTGGAAAAGGAGAAGAAAAGTATTGAGAGGGAGATAATTAACTCTTTTAGCTTCCAGGCCATTTTATGCAGACGGTAAAACAGAAAGAGGTAGAGGAATTCCCCACTGATCTTTCCAGTTAGGGTAGCTTGGCCCCTGCATGGGTATAAGGTGCTTGAGTTTTACAGCTGTATTCCCTGCTCTTGAGTTTCACAGCTGTATTCCCTGCTCTAGAGTTTCACAGCTGAAGCAGCACCAGGGGGTCAAAAGCAGGTGTCTGAGCCATCCACCTCCACACAAGCCAGCCTGGCAGCTTTTCAGCAGACAGCCTTTTGGGGGGGAACAGGGCACCAATGTGAGGTTGAATCAGACACTGGGGATCTGCTTCTGAAGCCTATTCCCTGCAGAAGGCTCCAGCTGTAACACACGTGACACAGGCCACTGCTGTTAATTATTTTATCTTTTAAAATGAGGGGGGAAGGTTGAGTAAATGAGATCAGATCAATCAAGTTTAAATTATTCAATGTCTTAATATTTCTGAAGGGGACTTCTATTTGATTACTGAGCTCCTCCATCTCAGTTAATAATTAAATAATACGCTGGCAGGCACAATGCAGCATGATCATTTCTATTATTACTCATGATGATATCTGGTGCTCCACTACACATGTAGCTGGGAGTTAGTAGTTTTGGCAGATCATTAATTTCCCAGTTTAAATAAAAGCTTTAAAACCTTGTTGCCTGTAGTTAGGGCACATCCAAATCTCATAAATGGAGAGTAAGGCTGTGTTGATAGAAAATAAGCTTCCACAGAGCTGAAGACAGAGTTAGAAACACCTTTCATTATTTAAACTTGAGTTCTGTAAGAATCTTGCTATATCATATTGTTTATTTATTACTGGAAATTATATTTCAGAAACTGGTGTAAACAAATGCTCTTGGCACCTGATAGAAAGAGGTTCAGGGTTGTACTGAAGAGCCTGAGACAACAGTTTCTTCCTTGGTTTTACAGGGGCTGGAACTACATTGTTAGCAACAATGACTATTTCTTCTGCTTTATTTATGTGGCCCATAAAGCACAAGCTTCACCTGCAGATGTGGTGAAATTCGAAGGGTGGGCACAGTGCCAGAGACCTATGCCTACTAAATCTTTCAGTTTCCATCTGGGAGCTAAGTGAAGATACACAATTGCTGACCACTGGTTAGCGGTCAGACAGAAAGGATTTTTGGGGATGTTTTCCAAGAGGCTGGAAAGCACTGTCCCCATGCCTTTTCCATGCTGCTTGCTGCAAACAAGACTATTTTATCAGTAATATCAGTTACAACCTGACTGATCTGTATCCAAATTCAACCTATTTTATACCTTTTTCTGTCCCTTAAGGGACAGGTTTTGCTCTCTGATCATACCCAGTTAGGAAGAATCCCCCACACAGACCTAGGTGGAGTGATCAGATTATTGCATCATTACAAGACTAAAGACCTCCCAAAATCAAATCTCTCTTTACAAAAAGGAGTGAGAATTGTCTAACCAAATGCTTCTTAAATTAAGGTATTTTACCAGAAGAATTAGCAAGCCATTACATTTTGAAGCAGACAGGAAATTAAAAGAAAAATGGTATTCCCAAGTTTGCTCACCTCCTCAGCCCCAACAGTTGGTGTAACAGCCAATCTAGGCTCTGGTGCTAATTTCACAACGTCAGCAAAGGACACATTTGTCTCAGCTACAAGTCCTGCAATGAGAATCACAATCCTGATCAATGCGAAAAGCAAGATGAGGGATGTGCCTTGGCTCCCTGGTAAATTAATACATTATATTGATCTTCCCTGGTCAGGTCAGCATTCAGGATTGAAGGATAAATGGCAGAAGATCTTACATTCCAACGCACTAGCCTGGGAAGTGGGGACTCCATGATTGAGATTTTGCCAATCACTCAATGGGTACCCTGGAGAATAGGTCAGCAGCAGAAATGCTGCTCAACAATTTCAGTAATTATTTATGATTATAAAAGTACAGTAAACAGCAGTGAAAAATATGTGGAAGTGAGGGACTCCAGGACAAAACGTGACTAAACAAAAAAAAGGAGGAGAAATTAAAACAATGTCAAGAAAATGCATTACAAATTAATAAATATATTTTATATAAGGAAGCAGAATGACAGGGGAGTTCTGCTACTACAGCATTTTGCTTTCCAAGTGAATCATAGCACTTTAGGAGTTCCTTGTTCCACATGCTAGGAATCCCAGACTAACCGTGGAACACCCTACTTGTAGATGTACGCTGCAATATTATTAAGGAGCCCTTGCCATCAATATTTCATTTATATTAGCAAGTCTACAGTTTTGCTCAATTCCTTTGCCTGGCCAAGAGTGAGTCAGCTGAAAGCATCCATCAAAAATGCCATTTAGAAACACACACAGCATGCCCCTGGGGCTTGGCTGGCAGAGTACCTGAAGGAGTCCCTCCATTTGAAATCTTCACTCAAACGCTCTGTCAACCAAGCCCCAAGATTTCACCTGCCAAATTGGTAGAGGGAATTCACATCTTCCAAAATATCTGGATTAACTTTAATGATGGCTCCACTTCTCTCATGCATTCACATGAATTAGGTGCTGGGAAGCTTCTGGTGGCTTCTGAAGCAAAAATCTGAGTGCAGAGAAAAGCAATACAGAAACGTGGCCCCAAAGGTGGAAAATGGTCCCAACTGTGGCTTCAAACATACTTGTAATCTAACTGTATTGTTTCCACTGCCTTATAAAAGTGTACTTTGCCTGACAGAACCCTTGTGTCTTTTCTGGAAAGAAAGAGGAGCATGCTGTGTGCATTAAACACATTGACTCAAGTTTTTGGCTGTGCAACTTTCTCTGCTGTTTTCAAATGCAGGAGAGCATGTAGTCTTCAGATGCTATAATGTGACAGCAGAATTTGCTTCTAAAATTAAAACCTTTCTGATTTCTTCTGATGGCTGATGTTACCTGTTCCATGCTTGTTGCAATCCCATGATCTTACATGAGCTTGCACAGAAGCTATCCATGTCTTAAGGTCCAAAAGCTTATAATAAACAAAAGAGGGACTAAAAGAAGTTGGCCTAAATATGGACTTAAGAATTTCATACACATTCTTTTGATTTGTTTAACTGTAACATATTAGGAACTGCTTGAATAAATGAATATATATGTGAATATACATGAATAAAATTTCCTGCTTGGGATTCAACTCTTAAATGGCTGGTGTCCCCCTTAAGACACACCTCCATGTGTTAGTAGATAGCAGTTAATTAATACTTGAAATCTTGGACTGTTGCATTACAGTGAGTGATGGGTACAGCAAGAAAAACGACTGGTCAACCTAAGAATATCCCAAGATTTATGGTGTTTCAAGAGAAAGTGCATACTTGAGCATGAAGCCCAGGGCATTTTGCATATCCTTTGTCTTGATGTTTAGAAGCTGGACGATACATATAGGTTTAACAACATTTACATGGCCAGCAGTATTACTAGTCCTGTCACTCCTGCCTCCTCTAATCTGCTTTACTAGGATTTAATTTTTGGTTTGGTTTGACCATTTCAGCAATCCAGTTTACAGTCTGCTTCTCAAACCAGGGCAGCAGGCTATACCAGCACCTTCACCTGGCTGTTTTCTTCCAAGTGAGGGACATGGAGGTAGCAACTCAACACAGTAAGGTCCTGGACCTTCCCCTGTCAGTACCAAAAGTTTCCAGGCCCTATCCCTTGGTTGACAAGCAGTCCCCAGACTTAAATTGTAACACAAATGTTATTCATGGGCCTGATCAAAACGCACTAAGAGCAAAAAAACCTTTTTGACCTGAATGTCCTTCCAGTGAGATCCACACAGCTTTATTCTCCTCTCATCTTCAGTGATGTTAATCCCAAGTATTAACCTACTGAAATTAAATGCCTAGCCTGCTCAGAAGTATCTCCTTAAGGTCTTACCATGAATTGCCCTGTAAGCACTTCCTAAACAAGCCGAGTTGGCGGTATCGATGGTGTACACTGGTGCGTTGAACACATCAGACAGGACCTGAGAAGTATCAAAGCATCAGTTAGGAACGTCCCTAGAAGACAAGGGATAAGCAATGCCCTATCACTGCTTAGGAAAACCAGTAACTACCTTACACCCCAGCCAAGCATTTCTACAGAAAGAAGCACCACAGGCAACAATGAGTCCTGACGTTGTCACACAACAAGGTGCTGCAAAATCTGAGCTGGAGATGTAACTGCAGCCAAGAAACCAAGTCCCAGCTCTCTCTCCAGATCTCTTTATTACAAGGTCAGAGGAATCTGGATTCAAGCATTGTCTCTCTCATAAGCCCACACAATTTGCCTGCGCCCAAGGCTTGTGTCAGGGCAAGAGATCTCAGGAACCCACAGCTTTCTTCTATCACATTTATGGCTGAGGCAAATGGAAAGGAAAGAGAGAGGAGCCAGTCATGGCAATCCACTTCTCAACTTTGATAAAAGCTCCAGAATGAAAGCCTACTAAATGTATTGTCTTCACCTTCACCCTTCCCACCAAATTCAGGTTAACAGGAAGAATGACACAGGACAGTTATATGGTCTCTACACATACCAGGATTTTTTTTCCTGTATTCAAGGGATCCTTAGCTATGAAGATATACCAAGACACTTCTCAGCTTGGCTTGACCAATACAAAGATAATTTTACCAGCAAAAAAAAAAAGTGTTATGGTAGCCAACAGATACTAAAGTTATTAGACCACAAAAAAATTGGCATTAAAATCAACACCAGGCATCGCACAATTACTGAGCACGTGTGCCCTTCCCCACAGTGTAGATTTAGGAAAACAGATATAAAAAAGGAAAAAATAAGATATATTTAGGTAGGGACAGGGAGTTTCAAGAACACTTATCTGAAAACACTATTAACAAACTCTCTCCATTTTGGTTTTGTCACTTCTAGGATTACAGGTATCCCTCAGCTGAGCAAGGTGAGAAGCAAACTAACAATTCAGATTTAACTTTGCTTTTCCCTTTTACCAAAGGCAATAGTGTATCACCTGATTTACACTGGTACAGTAGAGTCTCAGATAAGGCAACAGTGTGCTGGAATCCAGTCTGGATTAGTGATCTGCAGGCCCGACCTAGGGATTTACAGTCCTACTGATTATGGGTCCCAAGGACTTCTAAAACATTACTAAAATAGTCAATCCATGTAAGCTACAGGAAGAACAGTATGTGACATCTCTCAAGGATTTTGCCTCTTTCTCTGAAGGTGTATGGAGAATCTGCAAATCAAAACCTTTGAAAAATCACCAATTTTCATAATTTTTACTAACTAAAGGCCAATGAAAGCTTGAGCTTTAAACTTAAAACATTTTCTTCTGGTAAAATAACCAAGCCAGTATTGCCTAACTTCAGTTGCAAGCAATAAGCAATACATGAACTTCAATGCTAGAGGAGAAATGGAAAATTAATCATGGTACCTATTTAAAAGCCCTCTGGAAATGAGAAGGTCACAGAGGGCTGGTTCCACTGCCCATCCTGCCAGCCAATACTGCTGTATTGTTTCAGCACATTCCCCATCTGCTTCCTTCTCATTTCTAACAGGTATTTCTTAAGTTTAAACTGTAAATTCCTTTATACAGCAGAGAGGTGGGGGTTTTTTGCATCTCTGCAGAGCCTGACACAATAAAGCTCTACTCTATACTGAATGCTAGTAAGTGCTGTAACACTGCAAATAATAGCTACCTTTTGTGTCACATGATTATAAAATTAAAATTATTCCAAGCTCATCTAGAAGGTAAATCATTTGAAACTGTGGTTTCTGTCATTAATAATTTTTAAAGAAACTGTTAGAGGTTTTACTGTTAAAAATATTTCACTGTGCTTCATGTGGCCATTAATCAAGCACCACGTATGTTATAAAAAGCTTTCCAGAACCATAGAGAAAGCTGCCCTACCATATTAACAGATTTTCCTAAGTTGCCTCCTTTGCAGCGTAAAATACAGAAGTTACTGAATGTTGATTAATTAAATGATAGTCTTTTGTAGCCCTGGAACAAATTATCCAAAATTGACCATGATAAGGGTGGAAACTATTATTCTTTATGCAACTGATAGGGTTTCTGAGGTTTTGATTAAATTAAAAAGGAGGATCCAATTAACCAGTGATTGAATTAAGTGGATGACACTGTATTGATCATATTATACTAAGACAGTTCTAATGAGTTTTAAAAGCAGCTGTACTGTTATACGTGAAGAACAGGCACCACAGCCACCACTCTCCCATCTCCACAATTTTTCGGCTGTGTATGTTGCAGAATTACATGTTATAAGAACATTCAGTTCTCTGCCTTCATTCCACAGCAAGGAGACCTTCCTGGTACCTAAATACAGCTTTAAAGACAAACTCATCTATTAAGCCAATCTCTTTCCGAAAATATTCTTAGTAGAATTACTCCAGCAGGGACCAGTGTTTTAAGCAATTATCAGTTAATTTTCCAATGTCAAGTTCCTAAGCAAAATAACCAAAGCTGATGAAGAGAAGTGACATCTACAGGCAAAACATGCCACATTTGCTGTGTCCCAATCAGCTGTACAATCAGTGGTTACACAAATATGTGGTTTAGATGTCTCAGGAAAAAGAGCTTTCTGCTCTTTGCTCTTCAACATCCATTTATTCCAGCTCAGCTTGTGCAGAGCAGTGGAACTGTCCTTCATACAACTGCAGTTGTCAAAGAGCACAGTGGACAATAGAGGCTCTCTCTAGCTGGTAGAAAAGGACTGGCATCTTCAGAAAACAATTCACCCCATGTTGACTAACTTTAGTGCCATGACTTAGCCCAAGATTTAGTCAGGTGCCTTTTGGTGTGTACATGTCCACCTGCAGGCTCAGTGTCAGAGCCTCTAGTCAAAGGGGAGCTTGCTTGTCCAAGCTGTCAGTGGAGTAAAAGATACTCAGAACAAGGGCAGAGTTTTGGGGTTTGTATGGGGGTTTTGTTTGTTTGAGGTAGGGTTTTTTGAGTGTTCAGCACCAGCATAATATCCCCAATCCATCATCCAAATGACAGAAGTCTCAGGTATTATTTCAAGTCTCTTCTTGATTTTTTTGCTGATGAATTTGATGTAAGTGATAAGACCTTGAAATCAACAGTGCTTCAGATGCACATTCATAAAACTAGGAGACTGTAAAGAAATCTTTCAAGTTCAATACAAAATTAGCAGTGAGCTAACAGTGTTCACACTAAACCTGGACAAAAGCCCCAAAGACTTGCAGCAGGCTCACAATCTGTCCTGGTTTGAGCTCAAAACAGGACAACCCCATAGCCACACCTTCCTGCGCAGGTGCAGTGATTTGGACTCAGTACATCAAAATAAAAATGAAGATGAATCTGATCAGTTCAAAGGATTGTCTACTCACCTGTAAGATCTTTTTATTGTGGGATGCACCACCAGTAGCCAAAATCCTTGTTCTAGGCACTGCAATGCAATACAACATATGGATCAGACTGAAAGTGCATATTGTCAAGATCTGCACTACTGAACCAAGCAATGAGAACAAGGAGGTGGGAGTCAGATGGTCTGGGCTCTCTCTCTCTGTACCTCTAATTTACCTTCTGTAAAAAATGACTTAAGACTAATTACTCACCTTTCCAAGTCACATTAGAACAGTTCCTTAGAAGAGGCAACATAAATATTGCAGACCTATTATTATTATGGTGCTATTAAAGTCAGGGAGACTTGCAAAAAAGATATACAACAAAAAAGGCAGTGTTATTACACTACAGCTCTGGTTTGAGGTCAGACTGGTTTGGCTCATAGCTGTATATACACAAACTGACAGATAACCTTTAAAATCAGCAACATTTTCCAAACTTATCTCCTTGTGACGTTCACAGTCAGAATTCACTGAAACTTGGGCAATCCCTACATGCTTGAATGATAAGGAAGTGTGTCAAAAGGTAATTAGAGATGGTCTGAGTTGCTTCAATAAAATGAAAAAAAATATAAATCTGAACTTTTATCCAATGCAAACACACAGCTTTGGGGTGCTGAAAAGTTATCCTGCATCCTTTAAAGAATCCTATCCTTCCTTCTCCCATTCCTGAATGTCTGTCCTGTGCCTCATCCTTTATTTGTGTGCATGTATGCACTGGAGTACAGCATGTAACTAGCCATACTTCTCTCCATAACCACAATTCTGCAGGGCATTATAATTTTGAGTAGTCAAAATGAAAATTCAGTCTTCAAAGGCTTAAAACAAAATAAATGCATAAATACTTTGATAGCATATATTTTAAAAATCTAAACACTTGACTACCCTGATTTATGACAATAATAAGATAAGGCATCACATATACGCTCTCAATAGGGGAATTTTACTGTGTTTTTTTTAATAAAATCTAAAGATAATTTATTTCTCACAAGGCAAGGCAAAGTTGGTCAACTTACACTAATGCCCTAAGTAACTTACTGCCATTTATCCTTTCAAGTATCCTAATGACAAAAGCCCTGAAGACAGAATTAGAAATAAAAAGAAAGCACACGATGCCATTTCTAGGCTCACAGGTGCTCAGGTGGAGTCTAAGACCTAGACAAAGCATTGCATGGGGGACCCTATTTTACTGATAAATTTAATTTTATTTTCCTCTTTGGAGGATATTCAGTGATGCACAAATTGGGTTTTAAAAGCCATTAGGATCTCTGTCAATGTCAGTAAACAAATAAAACAAACAACAGAGTGATTCCTCAGGGGAAACAAGTTTCAATTATACCAACACAGAGTGACAGATCCCTGCCAAGATTATCACAACATAATAGCACAGAAACCAGTGAAAAATAACTATTAAGCCTCTGTTCCCAGAAACCAAACTGAACTATAAATTATTTGCCTAGTAGTCACAATCTTGTCTTGCTAAACCTTGTTGCAGATGGAAATTCTTGCAGAACTACTATATCCAGCGTGAAAACACCACATTCTATCTGACACAGACAGAATGAGAAACAAACATTTGCTCCATTCCACAGCAGTTAAAACCAAAGAATAAGACCTGCTTGCTCTCCACTGCCTCTGGAAAGGGGCTTAATAAACTGCTGGGCTATCACCATCAGGAAAGAATAGTGGACAATACAGAAGTGGTAAAGCCAAGCAGCAACTACCCCTATGAAAACTGCAGACATATCTTAGCTCAAGTGTTTCTTACACTTCCATCTATCTGCATGCCAGCTCTCTCAGAGCTTCTGCTCCACAATTTTCCAAATGTTTCATAGCGCTGTCAGGATATACTGCTGTCTGCTTCCACTGCACAGTGACTGATAGGGGAGGCAGGGCTGATCTGTGCCTTCTAGCTGACTCCAGTGCCCCTGAAACAGGTAAAATGTTGGCATTAGGAATCACAGACACTTATCAGAGACTTACTCCTTGCTAGGTCAGAAGATTCAGGTTTTGGTTACCTTATCAATTTATGCCATAACTGTAATTCCAGATACTTCTACATAAATAGGTTACCATAAGAAAAGTAGGGGTGATTTCACAGTGCATTTGCTATTCAATACAAACCACTCAGGAGTATGCATTTACCCAGCTATTAGTTAGATATCTACCAAGAGGGCAAACAGTGTTTAACACCCTTATAATCTAAACATTCATCTTAATCCAGAATAATTACTTCATAGCAAAATTCTAATAGCTATGTCAGTATATAACCTACTTGATAAAAGAAACTAACAATTTACACTGCAAAGTTTCTAACGTTGGTTGGACATCTCAAGTTCTAAACTGGATCAGCTTATGAGCATGAACACACAGATACATAGTAAAAAAAATACCCAAACCCCATGCTGAAACTACATGAAGGGTAAAATCATTCATTCTCCTTTGCTTTGAATAATGAGGCTGGCTCAGTTGACCGAAACATATCCCAGTGGGTAGCAGCCTAGTGAGTCCTAGCCAGCACTGCCTGACAACACAATCTCACCTGCTGTACTGGTGGGACTGGTCCATCCAGACCACATGGAATAGTGATCCTAGGTGAAGCCAGTGTTTCCCAAGGCAGCTCTGCATACAGCCAGAGCAGAGACAACAGCTTCCCTAGTTGAGTCTCAGCCACTTCTTACAGATGAGGGGTAGGTCCCAAAATAACTTAATTGAATTTGCTGATTTTTAGGTTTACCTCTTATTTCAATCTCTCTCCTGAGAGTGAGGAAAGTACATTGATCACTGAATTCAGGGATTGTCTTTTTAATGCCTATATTGTGTGCTTTACTGAATGGTGGACATTTGCTCTGAGATGTGTAATTGGATACATCTTATAAATAAATAAAGCAAGCCCATTATTTATGTATACAGGGGCATTAACAAAGACATTGCTCATCCATCACCAGTGGTGTTCTCAGTCAGCTGTACTTGAATCTGTCAGGAGTTACCATCTATCCCCTACAGCAGTGCACAGAAAGAACTTAAATACAGTGTTAAAAAAAAAACCCAACAAAAAACACCACCAAAAAACCACAACCAAAACAAAAACTGTAGCAAACATTATTAATTAATTCAATTCTTTGGCAGTTGAGAGAATCAGATTTAAATGTATTTTAATTAAAAAGCTCCCTTTATAGTACCTAACCAACCAGTTTCTTTCCAATTAAAAACTAATGATTTTTTTAGAGAGCTGATACAGAATTTTAACCATCTAGAAAGCATTTGTCTAGGAAACATTGCACCCTGTCTGTAAGAGTTGCTAAACTGAAAGAGTGGTCAAGCACTGGAACAGCCTGCACAAGCAGGTGGTTGAGTCACCATCCTTGGAGGTATTCAAGAAATATGTAGATGTGGCACTTCAGGGCCTGCTCCAGTGGCCGAGGTTTTGTGGGGGTTTTGTGGGTGTTTTTTTGGTGGGGTGTGGTTTTGGTTTGTGCTTTTTTGGTTGGTTTTGTATTGGGGTTTTTTTTGTGTGTGTTTATGTGTGTTAATGGTTGGACCCTGTGATCTCAGAAGTCCTTTCTACCATGACAATTCTGTGATCTGTGGTGTCATCCTGCAACATGTACATATTTTACAGATCTATTATCTGCTGTGGAACATGGTGACTGATCTAATGAAATTCAGTTAGTCATTCCCACCAGCCAGGAGCAGGGTGCAGGCCCAAGTAAAGAAGTTCACTTATGTGGGAAGACTGAGCATGAGGCACTTTCCCATACAGGACTGAGAAGTCAGCCCACTCTATATATGTTACACACACAATCCCCATTCTGCTTTTCACACAGATCCAGCAAAAGTGAATGATGTCAAAGTTCACCTCCTGCCTCTTGTTTTCAGCCAAAATATTGCTTTCATTGAAAGGTACGTAAGGGAAAAAAAAATAAAAATCTGTCACTGAGACAAGGGAGAAATTACTATTATTTGTGTTCAGCAGTTGTCAGTGGTCCAAAAAAGACTGAAGACCTGCATCACTGTATATTTACAAACACAGAACTGCTGCCTTCCCAGAAAAGCAAGCAGTTTAAGAAGACTATGACAAAAAGTGGAAGGAAAAACAAAGATTTTAGAGCAGACTTAAAGAGCATTGCCCAAGTGAATTCAACAAGTGAGACTGTGGAACCAGTAACACTGGGAGACTCTCTCCTGACATTCCTCTAACGGTCTTGGCACATAACCATAGCTATTAAGAAAAATAATCACATAAGCAAACTCTCATCAATCAGAAGGTTAGTGCTGTTAATTAGCACCAAAAGCCTGCTGCCACATCATTTGTGCAAGGAGGCTGGAGGTAGAAATTCACCCGTCTGTTCCACCAGGATCAGGGTTGTATCACACTGCTAACGGGTCTGGATGCTGGAATCGATGGGACGACTCCTGACCTCAGGCCTTTTGGGTCTGGCCATATTTCAACTGGACTGTAGCAACGTGCCTGTGTCAGCTCAGAATTTTGCTGGCTCATGCTCTGCAAAGTCCAAAAGCAGAATTTGACTTTCTGTTTGGAGGCTGAAAACTTCAGCTTCTTCAGCTAAATTTCCAGTGCTACACACAGCCCAGGTTTGTATCCCAAATGCCAGTCACTCCCTGACTTTCAAAACTCCTAAAAGACATTTTGAAGGCTTTATCCAAACAACTTCATGATGTCTTTCTCATCACAACTGAATCCATAAACAAAACAGAACAATAGAACATGCATTCAAAAAGCAGCTGATTATGCACACGAATCCACGCCAGCTATAAGCATGATTGCAAATAACTGCAATTTACAATTTGCAAGCAATGAGAAAAGTATCAGCCCCTCTTTTATTTCTGATTAACTCCAAACACTATAATTTTTTTAAAGTATTTTCTAGCTTTTCATTCTAGAAATACAAAACAAAAGTATATTATTATTCTGTCTCATTTATAAAACAAATGTTCCAAAATTGTCCTCCATGCATATTAACTCTTCCAAAATTAATGCTAATTTTTCTTATTCATGTAGAGACTGTGAAATTAAACTCCT